ATTCTGAGTACTCGCCAATGGCTGATTCAGTCATTTTTGGCTCCCCTACTGTAACGGCCTGCGCATTGTTGTCTTTCCCAATTCCGGTAGAGTTTTAATGTTCAGCGCGATGCTGAGTGAACAGACTTGAAGCTCAGGTCGGCCCACCTTATCGATCCACGTCGCATCAATACATGACTCAAGTTGACGCGGGTAAAATCCCGGTTTGCGGACAGACGTTGCCTAAGGCGCACGCGTGCGGACGCGCATGTCTGCAGGTCACTGAGTTGACGAAAAATCTGAGCGGGTAACCACGGCTACGAAGACAGCCGTCTTGTCTGCTTGTTTACTTTGGGGTAGCGACCGCGGGAAGGCCACAACACCATCAGCACCACCACGTGGGAGGTGGAAATTGAATGCTTGTAGTGGATGATGGTGTTGCGTGATGTAGGTGGGGGAAGATGTGCTGCTGTGGTTAGCCCGGCGGTTGTCTGCCACAGGTTTTCAGGAATGCGCATGTGCCCTAATATACCCAAGCAGTGAGTGGATGTGCGGGTGCAGTAGGGGCCGTTGAGGCGGATGCGGCGAGTGCATGTGGGTGCTCCAAACACTCGTTCGCCAGTCTCTGTACAATGCAATTGCAAGTGATCGACCTTGCTAATGTGTGAGGTGAATGTACGGGGACAGGGTGGACAGGAAAATTCGGCGGTGTCAGCGTCGGTTTCGGAAATGGTGGCAGTGATGGAGATGCTACTGGTGGGCGCGGTGGGTGGCGGTATGCAAAGTGTGTGGTGTGTGTGTGTGTGTGTGTGTGTGTGTGTGTGTGTGTGTGTGGAGGGGGTGTAGGGGTGTCAGCGGTGGGTCCACGTGATGGTCGTAGTGGTCGCTCACTTGCTTGCAGGTGAGACTACGCCTAGCGTCCATTTGCTGGCACCTAACTCTCACCTGTGGCTCCACGTAGCTGGGCTCTGCTCAGCGGCCACACCCCGGGCAACCGTCTCGACCGGCGGGCTAAACCAGGTGAGGGTATCCGTGCGTGCACCTGCACGCGCGGTACTGTGGTCTGCGCTGGCCGGATGGATCTTCGCGTCGACATCGTCGAGACGAGGCTCTGCCTGGATCATCGTAGGCGGCCACCAGGTAAGTTCCCCCTCAGGTAAGTGCGTTTACTTTGTTTCTTTCTTTTGTTTGTTAAAGTTCCGCGTCGTACGCTGCGCTTGCTGCCTGCCCTTTATATGCTAGTCTGTCTGTTAATAGCTAAACGACACCCTCGATGCCTGCTGCGATTGTCTGTCCGTCAGTCTATGCCACTCTCTACTAATAGCTAGGTGTTACGGTGCTTGACTTTGTGTGGTGCCCTCACTTTGTCTCTGACTGATGACTGTGTCCGCTTGTCCACTCTAGTTCTAAGTCCCCTAGCGTTAGTTAGTGTGTATGCTCTCTCCTACTTCACTCCATCACATCATCACCTCACCACCAAGGTCCCAGGCTAATTCGGATCGTTCTCTCACTAACAAAAAGTCGTGGCCCATAGTGGAGTCCGGCAGCCGTCTGGGATAACCGGGCAGCCCTGTTCAGGGATGCGTTGCCTGCCCCCGCGAGGGGGAGGGGCCTAGAAAAGGTGCCCTAAAGATCGCTGGGAACCACGCTGTCTGTAGGCTGGCCGTGGCCGCAGACAAAAAACACACGGTCGAAACAGCCAAAACCGAAACAACAACAACAACAACAACAATCGCTCTCTTCCTCTTCCAGCCTATTCTTCTTCTTCTCCTACTCCTACTTTTCGCCGCCGCAGTCGCCAGACTGGCAGGGTGATCCCGCTCACTCTGGCAGCCTGGAATGTTCGTTCCCTTTTAGACAATCCGAGGAGCAACCGACCGGAACGGAGGACGGCGCTAGTGGCACGAGAACTGGCGCGCTACAAGGTGGACATCGCCGCACTCAGCGAGACCCGATT